TACGGTTGATAGTCCTTATCCGAGAAGACTTGTTCTACCACCAGAACCATGATAGACGAGCGTGCCGTTCGAACCAGCGCCGATATTATGCCTATAGCTTGCGGCGCCCCTGCTAACCCTCGGCCATTCGACTCACCAGAAATGAAACTAAACAAGCCACAAAAATAAAATGTTAAGTTTCTATATTTTCGAATAATTGAATAACTTCTTTTAATGCGTGTAATTGTACACATTATATATTACTATTTTCAATTTTCCATAAAATATATATTCCATTGTTTTTTAACAATGTATAATGTTTCATGAATTTGAATAATTTGCTTGTACAGATATTAATAAATTATAAAGTTTATTGCACCATTTTATATTCTAGGGGTTGCGGGCCACTTTGTGGTGTTATGGCGCTCTGTTGGTGGCGTAGGCCCGGGGCTTTTGTGCCATAAAAAATATGAAATTAAATAACGTTTATAAAATATTGAAAGTATTTCTATTTAAGGGGTTATCCATAATTTTCAAAATTCATTTTCAAAATTCTGTATGTTCTGTAAATGCTGCAAAATATAAATCATATTTATTATTATTATTATTATTATTATTATTATTATTATTATTACTATTAAAATTAAGCAAGCTATTTCCTTCATAAATATGTACAGGCCTAAGAAATCATAGCTTGTAAAATAGTCTGGGGGCTAGTAAAATCTCCAGTAAATTAGCCCAGTGGGCTAGCTGCTAAAGAAAGTCAGGGCAAGGCCTGTACATACTCGTGTGACCCATGATTATCTGAGTTATAAAATAAAGTAGTTGTTAATGTTATTATTACCAGGATGGTTTCTTGATCAGGAATTCCACAAGGTGAATAAGTAAAGTTGGTTATAAGAGGATCATAAAAATAAAAATAGGCTTCACCTCTTCACTAGAGAGCGGACTATCCTTATCAGTTACCTAGGAAACAAATCAATCAATTGTTGTCAAAAGGTAATGTGGAATAAATTTACTGCTGTGCCAATTGTGATCGGGTTTTTTTTTAATAAAATAATTTTATTGGTTCTCGAATAATAATGCCATAAAAACCTTATAAACCATAAAAACCATAATATATATAAACTTATAAATCAACAAGTAAACCCAAGCTATAACTGTTTCTACTGCTAGTGGTACTTGTATGAAAAATACAGAAGAAAGCATCTTCAGTTGGCAAGGCGATAGTGAAAAATCAAAATCCAATTCTGACGGTGTTTTGAATTTTTAATTTGTATTCTGACTCTGACGAAAAAAAAAAAAAAAAAAAAAAAAATGCCATCGGAATAGCTTTGCAGCACCCACTAGCAAAAGCTTGGTGGTCGCGCGGTTAAGACAACAGACTAAATATTTTGAGGTCTTGGGTTCAATTCCCACCAAACTACTTGCGAGATATTTTTGCAAGCATTTGGGAACATACTGAACATTCAGAACTATAACACCTCAGGTAGGGAAAATTTTTATTTGTAATAAACGCCAATAAAACTTAAAAATTATTAAAATTGGTTTGTGTTCCATTGGAATGTACCTGGAAATGTTTAATGCAATGACATGAGATCTTACACAATATGAGCCAAGTTAGTTTCACATCATTAATTGGTCACAGTTAATGCTAATCGTCTGATACTTAACGTGCGTTCACATTGAACTATGGAGAAATAAATTAAGTGGATCATCCACATGATGTGGCTAAAATGAATGCTAAATATGAACGCTAAATAATGAAGGAAGTAGCTGTACAACTGTCATCTAGATGCATCTCAACTAGCTTCTTAATCCAGAGTTAAATGAATAAAAAAATGGGTGCCTCCAAACCGATTTTTATGCCCATCCTTGCTTTGGATACTCTTCTAGGGGGTAAAGTGGTGTTGGAAAAGATAGTGGGAATCAGATAAAAGAGTAAGAATAAAGAGTGCTTATTATCATGGTGATAAATAATCCTCAAATAATTCAGTATGATATTCTTTCCACAAAATATACCAAGCAATATTTATAAAAATAAAAACAATAAAACATAAAAAATATTAATATTCATAGAAGTTGCAGAAACAATAATTAAGATACATAAAAACATCTCTAATCTTAAAATTAACAAAGAACAAATTGAAAAAAAAAAATTATGAATCAAGCAGAGAATATTAAGTATAACCATGCACCAAAACAAAACAATGGATTTTATTATGTTTGTGTAAGTTAATAATAATGTTTTAAGATTAATATATTTCGTTTTACCTACGAAATGGAGAAAAGAGTAAAAAAAATACATGACATCTATGTTTTGCATAACCCTTGACCCACCATGGATCCCAATGTGGAAGAAACTTTTTAAATTTACATATAATATATATATATATATATATATATATATATATATATGTCCTATTCTGTAAATTTGCTCCAACCATTGTGATGCTGGGGGTGCGCTACACCACTGTCGATCTTGCATTGGTAAGAAGTAGTACAAGAAGATGGTACAGTATATTTTTTACTTATTTTCCTATCTTTGTAATATAACCATGCGATTTAACTGCTTTATTTTGCTTCTTAAATATTTAGATCAATCCTGTTATTACAATCATCATTAAATAAGCATATTAATGATTCAAGTGTGAAAATATGAGATAAAAAAATAATAATAAATTTAAAGTAAATCATATTGAAAAAAAATATATATTAGCATATTAAGTCAACGGAACAGAAGCTTGTTAATTTATTATTTGGTCATGAACTTTCTTATGTTTCTGTAATCAATTTTAGATTTAAAATGAAATTTTGAGAAATTCTGTACTTTGAGAGAAACAAGTAGTTTGGTCCTTGTTAAGTTATGTCTATATTTACCATTAAATGTTGATTCTCTGAAAATCCCTGTGCAATGTCCATTAACAACATGGAACGATCTCACGTGTGAAAATGGCTCCAATAAGACGAAAATGTCCTGGTTAGGTTTGTACGCAAGCGTGTATGAAACACCAGGTCTTTGAGAAGGGGAAACCCACTGAGATCTAAAGAAAATGCTAAACAACTACTATAAAAAAAAAAACCACAAGATTTGTAAGTCCCTATGGCTATCTTCCCCCAGAATTTTTCCCCTGTATGATCGTTTCTCCTAGTTTTCCAACTAATTTTTTTTTCATCAGTTTATGTTCATCATACTTAATATTGTACGGCAGAACATATTTTTTTGCATTTTTTTCTGTTTGATATAAATTAATTATTGTCTAGTCGTTGTAAAGTTATACCACAAAGGTGTGCAA